TGGTACCGGTAAATGGAGAGAGATGTGCGAAATGCCGACTTACCCGTTCTCGTCATCCCAAGGGATAGGACCTTCGGGGAAAGATCCCCAACTTGCCGTCCTGATTCTGTAGTTTCCGCCATGGTTAGGTATTCTGCAAGCTCGAGCCGTCAAAGAACGTCGAGTGGGAGGATGTAATAGGCATTATGCGGCCCAGCCTCTGCCACAAATACACCAAATACTGGCCATGCTTTAAGCCCAGTATCAGTGATAAGAGCGAGAAGCGCTGAGGATGTACTTCACTGTTGGCAACGACCACTCGCAATGTATCTCGTGAGCACGTGCGAACGGTTCCCAGCCGAGCGGTCTCTTATTGCGGGTTCCACTTGTGATACCCAGCAATGCTACGATGGAATGAATCGCGGCAGCTTGCTTGTCCAACCCGACCCCTGACGGCCAGACAAGCTTCTGACCCCATGTCTGCAGACACTAACTACCGCGTTCTGGGCAGCATAGTCAGGGGTAACGTGCAGGCATGTGCAGGTCAGTAGTTGATAAGCAGCCCGCCCACGTGCAGACGCTGGTTGCTGTTGAGTGAGCCTTTGACTCGGCACAAGCAGCCGAATTAGACCCAGATTGGTCCGCTTCTTTGTCACCAGGAGAATGCAAACAACGTAGCGGGGGGTGACTGTAATTATGGCAGCCTCTAATACCGAAATGGTTGCTAGATGACAGTAAATAGTGATAGCTTCGCTACAACAGCTAGCTAATCTGCCGAGGTAGGACGTAGGATACAGACTGACAGAGGCTCCTCTGGGTGTCATTTTGTATCTCCTATGCTTCTGGTGAGTTATTCAATCTCCAACTATTGAAGAGAGTCGGTCGGCAGCTTCGTCAACCGACTCCTAGCTTTAAGACCTGCCGCAGATATGAGCTGCGTAGAATTACCCGCCTTCTCGTACGTTAAAATCCCACTAATAACCTTGCCTGCATGATTTGACTACGTAGACCGTGGTCGCAGTTGAATCATTAGCGGTATCTTCTCCCATACCAAGTAGGTCCCTTGCTTGTTCCACCAATCAAGCTCGGGCTCGGAGAGTTCGAGATCGAAATGCCACATGATCTTGGCCATTGTCAAACGCATCTCTGCGTATGCCATACTGTATGTCTCAAGCGTCAGTGAACTCCGTATGAGTGGCGGATTCGTAAGCCGCAAACATACGCTCTTCCAATGCAGACTCTTTGGCCCATAGAAAAGGGCTGGGTGGCTGCCTTGTCATCGTTGGCGAACTCGGAGTCCGGAGGCAGATCGAGCCATCGCTCGGGATGGAACTCTCGAGCGCGCTTAAAGTTCAGCTCCGACGTGCCGGCAGAGAGTTGGTTTACGGCAACGGCCATGCCACCCTTCACCCACTTGCCGTCGATCATCTCTCCTTTGCCCGGCACAAACCGAGGCAGGGAGCCGGGAGTAGGCGGGTACATGCGCATACCCTCGTCAAGACAGGCGTTGAGGTACTTGCATTGAGCCATCCCTTGCATCGATATCTCCTCGCTCGTCTGGAACGTCTCCCTGATCTCCTTCTTGAGCTTTTCAAGCTTGTCCGGGTTCCGGAGCAGGAGGTATGTGAGACCCGACATACCGCCCGCCGACGTGCCGCTTCCGGCGACGATGAAGTTGCTCGCCAGCATGACCAGCTCAACCTTTGATAGCTTCTCGACTGCTTCGTTCTCGTTCCCGAGGATGAACGACATAAAGTCTTTGCCCGGATTCTCGGCCTTTATACGCCTCTCGAGCTTGGCTTCGGTCAAGGCAATATGGTTCTTGCGCGACTCCGTGACGTATCTAGGGGTGAGAAAGTTCAATAGCGGAAAGAAGCCGTACCAGACAGCAAGCTGGAACCACACAATGGCTTTCGCTCTCTGAAGGATCACTTGGATCCAGGGCTGATCTGAATTATCCAAGAAGCCAGCCGGCTCGCCAAATGCCAAGTCTGCATTGTCTTCGTCAGCATATGCCGGGATTTGCATTGATCGGGGAGATGAAGAGATCGCATGTACCGGAAACAATGTCAAAGGCGACGAGATTGTACCAAGTCGTCATATCAACGGGACCTTGCGTGGACTTTTCTTTCAGAATCTCGACGAGCTTGCTCGAGTGAGTTTGGAGATAATGCTCCTGTTCCCTCAATGCCTTTTCCGAAAACGCCGGATTGATCGCTCGCCGCAGTCGCAAATGTTGTTCCTGTGTTTCCGTCATCAAACTCCTACGCCCACCAATGCTGGGCGGCGCGATGCCGCGCCCATCCAGGGCTTTCGGGAACTCGGGTTTGCGCTGGCCGTAGATTTTCTTCCACGCCGTCGAAGTGGTGTAAGACAGTTCATCAGGCGCGATGCGCACAACCGGACCGTATTGATCGTGGAGCTCTCGAATCCGCCAAGTGATTCGTCCTTTGAGATTGGTGTAATGCCACGGGACTCGCGAGATCGCCCACAGTTTCGGGCCCGGGAAGTTGCGCAGGGGATGGAAATAGAGGTTGTAGACGATTCTGACAAAGAATATGTATCCAAGGATCTGGTCAAGCGGAAGTCAGTTTCCTGTCTTGAACTGCACCGACACTAGACTTGCCGCAAGACCAAGACTTTTTACGACGTTTGGCGTATTGAGAGGTGGTAGGTTAGAAGTAAAGACTTGAATCTTCTCTTCATTTGGAACATGACGCCAGCGTTCCATGATCAATAGAAAACGTTCCATTTTGCAAGGAGCCAGTCAGCGAGCGCCGACAAAATTCGAGTAATATCTCGAATCGAAAAGCAAGGGAGTGAGGGTGCGGAACCGGAGCATCTATCAATGTTCAAGGACAGCTGCAGCAACACAGCAAATCCGATCCACCATCTGCTTGTTTAGCACAATCAGTAGATTCCCCATTTGTTGGACCACACGCGGTATTCGGACTGAACTCCTGGCCAGTTAGCAAGTCTGTATGGCGACACGTGGGATAGACATTTCAGCTTCGTCCCGCAGATGGGTACGCCAGAACCTACCTGGACGGGATGGACCTGCATGGGTGAGCTAGAGAGGTCGAATCAGCATCCTGGTATTCCACGATCAGGCAATCCCAGTCCACGGCACAGGGGCTTCAATCTCGTAACGACCCAGACAAGCTTTCAACTGAGTCGCACAGACCCTGTAGGGGCAACATCAGCTGTGGGTTTGTTGTCACCGCAGTGCTGTGCACAGATTTTCCCTTGTTTAATACAGCAAGAGGACCCATGTTGCATTTCCCACACGACCTTACTTACGATAAAGCTCCGCGATAGATAAGGCGTTTCTACTGTAATACGTCCCCAGTCGCCCGTCGGGTTATCTGTATACAAGTCTGAAGTCTCTGCTCTCGTCCTTTTGTAAGTGTTCGAAAAACCTATTAGGGTGCACTTGCTCCGGACCCCCAAACGCGGGACGATGCGTGTCATTGCTTCCAGCCCCCGCCTTGTCAGCACTAGAAGAAGACATGCTATATATATGGAACTTGTGATGTGATTCCTTTTCGAGTTATTTGTATCACTAACACCGCTTCTCCAGTTCTGTAACTAGCCGAGCTACGAGCCTGTCGTTAAAGCCTATGGCGCAGCAGGGAGAAATTGGAGACAATGTTATGATCTACCATCTTACAGGGTGTGCCTTGAGGACAGCGCTGAAGTTCTGTAGAAACGGCCGATCTCCATCGATAGAACGGCTCTTAAGAACTCCAGCCCCTCATGTACACAACGCTTCTTCCTCCACGAGATAAAAGAAAATGTAGAATATTTGGCCTGGGGGGGTTTTTTTTTTTTGACTATTTTTCATAAGAAAATACACCTTGAAGGCAATAGCCGTATATGAATCATTACAAAAGCTCAGCTCGGCGGTGTATCTCGTGCATTGGAGACGACACTCCTATCGTTCAAAACTGTCTTCATTGGAGATCGGAACCGAAACCGAAACCTCTTGATTGGAACAAATACCAAGTTTCAGCAACAACACTCTAATGCCCTTGATACATAGGATTGTACGGCCGGGAATTTAACTGCGAGATCAATATCAGAAAATGTAGTAACCGCTAAGCAACACGTCTAGGCCGGCCCAGCTGACCTATATGGATAGCAGGTCTCCGCCACAACTACCACTTCAGTCCATTCTTGATATTACCCTTACTAATGCTATCTCCATTTGTTAAGACTCTGAGTCGGGTCTATATGTTAGATATACACTCACGATTTCTCCTACATCCTGTTGTGTATTTTGAAAATATTGCCCTTGGGGACTCCGCCCCAAAGCCCGAAGCCTGAAGATATCCAATTGAAGATGTTTGCATTGATATATTCCGATCGTAAAGCCTATGATAAAAGTCGTGAGCACGTCCAATTACCAACACTTCTAAATGCTCTCGATCGTCTAAACAACAGGGAAATGTTTTTTCTTTATGCGAACCAGCTCGCTACATAGACCCTTTTGGCCTTATCAAAGTTATCTGCAGATGTGTCCGAACTCGATAGTACTTTTTTCCTTCTTCATTGTCTCAACTCGCACGATAGAGCTTCCATTCCATACAAGGTAACCAGCCTTGTGGTGTCGAAGCATCAGCGGCCTTCTTGCGGAAGAGCATGATTAAGTTTTTTCCCTTTTTTTCTTCTTCTTCAATTATTTGTCATGCATCGTTGTCCTGAATTTGCCCGTGTAAGACATTTGGTAACAAAAACTTGCAAAAAAGGGTAAAAACACAGACTTACCTAAATGGAAATACTATAAAATATATATTGTAAGTAGGAGATTAATATCCAGACTAGTTTGCCGGCTGCACTGGTTGATAAAACAGCATTGCACAACGTATTAGAGTTGATGAACGTACATTATCAGACGGCACAGCACTGCGGGGTTGGTAACTCTGTGACGCAAGACCGGCACATGCCGATTCTGCACAGTTGCTAATTCCTACAGCTCCACACACCAGATAACCACCCGACCTTCTTATCCTTGATGCAATGCCGAAGTGTTGGGAATGAGGGTCCTAGGTGGGGGTCGCTGTACCTGTACATGCGAGTCGCAGACCTCACTGCCGGCCTCCGTTCTTCGGTGATCCGGACTGTTTCCCGGATCGAATACAAGCTGATCGGCCCTGGATTAAAGCACTTGTGGCAAACCTGACGCCGCGGAGCAGAGAGATTGTTCAACGTATCCAACCGAGCCGCTACACACCACCAGCACTGCACGTCCCAACCGATCGGACACCTAGAACTATTACTGCAGCCTTCAAGACTTTCAAAATGTCCGAGCCGCCGTACCCCCTGCATCCGTCAGTCATCAACCGCATCAACCCAGAATACAGGGACTTCTACAACAAACACGTCTTTGACAAGCAAGTCGTCCATCGCCAACCCATCTCGGCATCTCGAGCCAGCGGCACACTGATTCCGGGGGCTGGCCCCAAAGTGGAGGTTGCAAGCGTCGAGGACATCACCATCCCGAGAAAAGAAACGACCGGACCAGATATCTTGATTCGAGCCTTTACACCTCTGGGTGAGCGGCCTACTAAAGGATGGCCGTTGGCCTTCTGGTTTCATGGTGGCGGATGGGTTCTGGGAAATATTGACACGGAGAATGTGATTGCAACGCATCTTTGCAACCGAGCCAAGTGCGCTGTGATTTGCGTTGATTATCGGTAAGGTTGTTGTCTATAGAGAAAATGAATCCTCACTAACAGCTCCAAGCCTTGCACCAGAAGACCCTTTCCCTGCCGCAGTCGATGACTGCTGGGAATCTTTGCTCTGGGCCGTCTCCGCAGGCATTGGCAGATTTAAACTCGATGCGTCCCGGATCGCCATCGGCGGCTCTTCCGCCGGCGGAAACCTCACGGCCGTGATGTGTCAGAGGGCAACCCAGCGATCAGACATTCCACCAATCGCCGTTCAGCTGCTCTCAGTTCCTGTTGCAGACAACACCGCAACAACTGACTCGCAGAACCCAGACCACGCATCATGGAAGGAGAACGAGTTTACGCCCGCCCTTCCGGCGGAGAAAATGATGTGGTATCGCCTCCATTATCTGCCTGTTAAAGAAACATGGCAACATCCTGAGGCGAGCCCACTACTATGGGAAGGTGATTGGTCGAAGCTTCCTCCCGCAGTGGTCGTTGTGGGTGAGCTCGATGTTTTGCGCAGCGAAGGAGAAGCTCTTAGGAAGAAGCTCCAAGATGCCGGGGTCCAGGTTGATCTACATGTCATGAAGGGACAACCTCATCCTTTTATTGCAATGGATGAGGCACTTGAAGATGGGAGACGAGCCATTACTCTGTTTTGCAATAAACTGTTAGAATTACTCTAGACGGCGACCGCAGAGGATACACCTGGCCAATCCAATCGGCTTAGGAGTTAGACCCGATGCTCCGAAGGGGCCTAGGTTGGGGATTGTCGCGTTGGTAGACGGTAGCGCAATAGTTTATTTCGAAGACAACGGTTTTATAGCCGATATCAGGTGTCACAGCCCGTGCAATTTATTACTTCATGTGTTTGGTTCAGTATTATCAGGCTTGGCACGCTATGTTTATTTTATTTTATTTTACAACACTGCTATACATTCAATCTCGACGTCTACATTGAGAGGCAGAGTTTTGACCGCGACGCAACTAAATTGGTCAGTCTCGTTATCAGCACATGTAAATGAAATGCACTCGTGATCGGGTTAAACCTACGTTCGAGAGGGCTTGACATCGCCCCAGTATTGGCAGTAAATCTCGTTCATGGCGGCGAAATCATCCATGTTGGCGAGGAAGACGTTCACCTTGACAACCTTGTCAATAGTGGTGCCTGCCCCTTCAAGTATTGCGGTCAGATTCTTGATGCATTGGTGCTACAACCTTTGTCAGCTGGGTTCTACAGGGTCACATAGCGAGCCTCGCGCTGGCGGCGCAGAACTGTATGCACATACCGTGTGAGCTTGGATGTCGCCGTCAATGATTTTCATGGTAACTGGGTCCATGGGAACAGCGCCGGAGCAGAAGACCATGTCATTAGCAATGATAGCTTGGCTGTAGATACCAGGCAGGGGCTTAGGGGCCTTATCGGTAAGGACGGGGGTCTTGGAGGACATGGTGACGACTGTAGTGGACGTTGGCGCTTGTGGTGTGTGAAAGGAATGCGTGTGATGTTTTTGGATAAGATGTATTTTAGACTCTGCTTCACGAGAAACTGAGATCAGATAGAAAAGCTATAAAGTCCGTTGAAGCAACGGAAGCTTGGGTGCTGCCCAGCTCTCCGTTCTCGGATGATTTCACTGTCCGCGGAGAGTTGTGGGATCGTCCTATCAACCCCGCACCCTCGGTGGGACAGCTATCGCGGCGTTTCAATAATACCTAGCAGGCCCATCGTTATCTTCAATAATCCCCAACGTACTGGGCCGAGGTCGGCTGCCAAACAGTCTACACGGAGTACCTCGCTTTGTATAATCTGACCCCCACGGAACAGCTTCCGCCGGCATCTTCTCTGATATACTTCCTTCTTGCGGGTGGAATACCGGTAGGACCCCCGAATACCAACCCCCCACCAACATGGGGTCGCCGAGATATGCGGAGTGCAATTTCAATCAACGGCTGGCTCATTAGCCAGCCATAGTCCAGGACTCAAAGGATTCATATCACCAGCGCGTAGCTACTCCTCTCTCCAACTGTGCCAGACTATCATTGTGTACCTGTGCGACCTTACGAGGGACCGCATTGGAAACATATCTTAGTCGTCACTCCACTTCATTGCCAGATTGAATCACTTGCAGGCGAACAAGGCCTGAGCATTGACACTGTACGCTATGGTGCTCTGATGTCAGTTGATAGCTAGTCGAAGAAACTCACAGGGGTCACGACTAGTGCATTGGATCAGGTCAGAAAGGGGAACTGGATGCATTGACCAATAGTTTTGAAACCTGCCCTGTGATATGCCCTCGAATTGGAGTTGTGGCCTGTGGCCATCGGTCCCAGCTTCATACTGGAAGAGAATAACGACGAACCCCAGCCAGGAAGACCTCTCTGCCTAACCGGCTAGCGTCCCGACCATCGCGATTCTGCATATGTCTGGGAAGCAGGATGTTCAATGTACCTGCGATTATCTGCGTCACTGACCCCACTACTAGTATCACCCTTATCTCTGACCACCGGCGAGCATCCATCGAGAGCAGAACCGCGAACCAGTCACATGGATTCGGTGTGACCAGGATAAGAGATGCGTTGATTAGGAAGCGATATCCCGATCAGCAACTGCGACGCTGGAAAAAGTTTATGTATCCGACTGTTCCCAGCCGCGATAAAGAGATCCCACGTTCGTACAGTCTATAGCATCTAGCACGAGTTGCGGATTTGTATATTCCATCTTCGACTCGGCTAAATCCCGGTCGGAAGCAGTTCGAAGCTCGTTATGGACGATGCCACGAAAGACAACAAGATCTCGCCAATATCCCAACCGGCGGGATCAATTCGAGATGGATCTGTCGAGGGAGGAAGCACGAAGAGCCATAACTACGACGATGACGTAGTCCAGGTCATTGATAAAGCCGCCGAACGACGGCTTTGCAAGAAGTTGGACTTTCGTATCTTGCCTGTCCTGGCTGTGATGTGTAAGCCTTCCAGCCTTCCGACTAGCTCACCCAGCGCCTTCACCCAGCAGAAGTCGGGTCGCTGACGCACTCTCTCAGACCTGTTCAACGCGCTCGATAAGGGAAACCTAGGCAATGCCGAGACGGAGGGCCTGAGCACCGATCTCAACTTCAAGGATGGACAATACAACCTCATCGTCAGCATCTTCTTCGTGCCTTTTGTGGCGGCGGCGCCCTTCGTGGCCCTCATCGGCAAGAAGTTCGGACCAGCGATCGTGCTCCCCATCCTCATGTTCGGCTTCGGCACCATGACCATGCTCATGGCCGCGGCCCAGAACTTTGGTGGCGTCTTTGCCCTGCGGTGGTTCTTGGGCATGGCGGAGTCGGCGTTTTTCCCGCTCGTCATCTACTACCTGACCACCTTTTACCGCCGCGGTGAGCTGGCACGCCGCCTGGCCATCTTCTACGCAGCGTCAAATATTGTAAGGCCGCTGTTTTTCTGCGCTTGAAGGTTGTTGAGTTGACGCTGACTTTTGACAGGCCAACGCCTTCTCGGGCCTGTTGGCGTTTGCGGTGTTCCATATCACCAATACCAGCATACGTCCTTGGCGTTGGCTTTTTATCATAGTATGAGTACCTCCATATGACCGTATATGGTAGCTTGTTGACTGACGAACCCAACCCTCCGCCAAGGAAGCGACTGCTACTGTTCTCTTTGCTGTATTTGCATTCTGGTATCTCCCTAGGAGTGCTGCCGAGGCAAAGTTTCTCACGGCTGAAGAGAAAGAGTTGGCCCTCCATCGCATCCGAGTTGATAGTTCCTCCGTGGTCGGAGAGAAGATGAAGATTCGAGAGGCGGCCAAGGTTTTCAAGCATCCGACGACGGTAAGCATACTCCGTGCGCTGATTTTGGGTTCGGATACAGCGGGACCTGAAACTATGAGCCACCGAATTGGAACCCGACAGCTGATCGAATTTATAGTACGGCTTTCTGGCTATTGAGATATGTCTGGGAGTCCCCCTCCAGAGCGTCGGCCTCTTCATGCCTCAAATCGTTCAGCGCCTGGGATACAGCACTATCAAGACAAACCTCTACACCGTGGCCCCCAATGTCAGCGGCGCTGTAATGCTTCTCATCCTCGCCTTTCTTTCCGACTGGCGCCGGCTCCGGTTCCCATTCATTGCGCTCGGCTTCATGCTGAGCTTCACCGGATTCATCATTTACGCAGCCATCGATGACGTCGAGAAGCAGATCAACCTTGCGTACTATGCATGCTTCATGATGACCTGGGGCACGTCCGCGCCGAGCGTGCTCTTGTCGACGTGGTATAATAACAACGTCGTGAACGAAAACCAACGTACGTCTCCCGTCCCGGGAAAGCCTTCCTGATGAATGTCTACTGATTCTTGCACTTCAGGTGTGCTTCTGACATCGATCGGTGTCCCACTGGCGAATATCATGGGACTCGTCAGCAGCAACATCTTCCGTAAACCAGATGCCCCAAAGTACGCACCTGCTCTTATCACGACGGCTGCCTTTGGGGTAGTCGGCGCCCTGTGTGCACTCTGCTTGGGGTTCTTTATGGTTTGGGATAATAGAAGAAGGAACCGTGCACAGGGCGTAAACCTTACTGCCAGCCAAGTGTCGACCTCTAAGTTGGGTGATGGCCCGAAGAGTCCCGAATTCCGTTGGTTCCTTTAATCCCTTTAAGCTTCTTCAAGTCGTAACGATATTATGTGTAATGGAAAACACCTTCTTGAGACTTTGAAACCAAGTGTGCCATCAGAAGCGAGAAGCAGTGTGGGATCACCAGGAAGGGAAGGAAGGCCAAGCCTTCAACTTGCTCAGCTTTGACATGAATGTATGTATTCTGATGGGTTAATTGAGACCCGAAAGCAAGACCGCTGTAACCCGATGTTGGTTTGATTTCTCATGGCCATTATACGCAGGAATATATCGAAGTATGCATGAGTTCCTTGTGCATTGAGCGAATTATGTCGCCGGAGTATAACGCTTCATGCTAACGCTCCAAGGAAAGAAGTCCTATGAAATAGGCTTTATGACAGTCCCTGTTGTGGAGGATATCATGGCCGTAGAGTTGGAATCATTACTGTCACATTGATGCATCACACACGGCATAAGTCGCAGCTACCAACTCCTAATTCATTTGAGCAAGCCAGGATAATACAGCGACTTCATCAGGGCTTATGTACGTTGCCAAGGCGGTCCCCCTTGAGGTCGCACAGGTACACAATGATGGTCTAGCATAGTCGGAGAAACACAGTAAAAGTGTCGTGGCCAATGCTCAGTACAATAGAAGTAGGTTTCTAGATAAAAACACAGTACCATGGAGCCTCGAAACCAAACCTCCCTATCAACTAAGGCTGCCAGAGCATTCGGAGATGACTCCCCTAGTTGCTATACCTAGTGCCCAGACGGCAGCAGCACTGTGAACTACTGTTGAACATGGTGTGACAGTGAATAAACTCGGGTTGCCGCTTCCCGTCAGACAATCACCACTTGCAGCCATCACGTCAACTCTCAACCACAGTGAATACGAGTATTCACTGCAGTACTTTCGCTTCATTTATATAAATCTCTTCCCCCCTGGGCTACTGAAGAACCAAACTCTCGAGAACACCAAGCAGCCGCCAATCAAACAAGCAAGAGACCAACAACAACAGATACAAAAAAAAAAAAAAAAAACCACCAGACTATATCACACAAACTGCTATACGCATCGCGATCAAACATGATGCCTGGAAAAGGAAACAACCCGAACGGCTACGGCTACGGCAAAAACCCATACAGTGACACGAACGGCTCTTCCGGCCGCTCCTACTCTCCAGCCGACGCAATGGCTTACATGGCCGCCCGCGCCGCCGCCAACCGCTCCGCCTACGGTCACGGCGTCAACCGCGGCCCGACCTACGGAGACACCTACGGCCCAAACTCAGCCACCGCGATGGGCTTCGGCTACGGCAGTCGCCCTCCCACCAACACTTACGATGCTGGCAGGACGACCTGGGCCGACGGCCCGTACTACCCATCCGGCTCCCCCAGCACGGACGCCCTGCGCGGCGCGGCGGACATGGCTGCCACGGCGGCGCGGCGGGCACGAAACCCGAATGGGTATATCCCCGGCGGCGGCGGCAGCGGCAGCGGCCCGAGCAGTGGGTTCGGGGGCGGCTGGGGAGGCCCCAACGGTCCCGTCCCGATGGGCATGGCGGGCTCGGGCTGGCCCGGCACCAAGCCCGGCACGTCTTACGGTCCATCTCGTGACGTAAAAGGAGACAACATGGCGGATGGGCATGGGGACGACAACGAGCACGGAAACAGCAATGCATGGGGCCATGGGGGATTCAACGGTAACGCCTGGGGCCATGGCGGCAGTGGCAATGGCCAAAACCCTGGGTTCTAAGAGGCTGTAAGTTGCTGTGGTAGGCCGTCTGGTATGACATCGCCGAGGGAAGCCACAAAAAGCGCGATCATTGATGGTGCGCATAGTCAAGGACGGGGTGCATGAAGGATCTCGCGAGGAGACCAAGAGCCAACTCTTTCGTTACTGATACCCGATAGAGATATATACAGACCTTCGTGAAAAACAGCGCGAAAGCAGTATTACGTCGTGGTGGTATCCTTCAAGACAACGCATCGCCAGCCAACAAGGCAACAATAGTCCGTACAGCCGTCATCGGCCCTTCGTTACCCTGAACAAGTTTCCCAAAAACCTTGGACGCCGCGGCCAGTGACCCGCGCTCATCGCCGCGATGCCCTGCGTACTGTTAGTCATTTTGCACTGTCTTGAGATTGTCCTTGGGGAAACCTACACTTGCCAGGCATACCAATCATCAATCCAATCATACTCTGCGCCTCACCAGTCCAATCGAAGTGGATCTTCCAATGTACCCTAAGACATGATGCTTCCCCCTTGACAGCATCGGGGATAGGGATCTCGTAGGCGGTCCTCCCAAGATGACGTAGTAACGCCGACCGCGAAAGGTTTTCGGCGTGGGTACTTTCGGCGGCGGCATCTTGACCATCGTCATCGTCATCGTCCTTTCTCCTGCGCTTCTTTCGCCTTGTACGTATTTTGGCCACGCTCTGTACCAGTTTCTCCTTGTCGCCGAGCTCGCTCTCCAGTGTGTGCCAGACGTTGGCACGCTCTATCGCAATGCGATACCACTCGGCCATCGCCCAAGTGACAATCGTGACGTTTCGGTTCATGTGGGTATTAGAGCCTCCTTGAGTGACCTTTTGGACAAAGGGGCCGACTTCTGCCTCGGCCGAGGGGTCTAGGCGGGGCACACTGAGCTCCGTGATCTGCAGCTTTTCGGTATCGACAGTCATCTCAACCTTGGCCATGAAGAGCCCTGCGGGATGTGCTGATCTGATGACGATGCTGTGTTTTCGCAGCAGAGGTTCCGAGTCGCTTTCTCTCGGCAACATGGTCGTTGTCCCTGAGAACTCAAATGGGGTAAATGCCTGCAGGTACGGGAGCTCATCGGTAGCCGACAGCGCGATTGGGTGATGCGATGTCGGGGGAGGAAGATCCTCCTCTTCCTCCGTGGAAGAGAAGACGGAAGTCTGGCCGAGAGACCCGAATGATAGCCAACTTGTTGGGTTCATCGCGAGGTCTAACCACTCTTGCGCTGCATCTGGTTTGGCCTCCTTTTCTGGGCGTACAAGATGCCGTCGCAGTAAGTCGACTAGTTGCTCTCGGCGGGACGTTGAGAGAGGTTGAAAATCCGGTCTCAAGGAATGCGCCTTCTGCACCCGTTCGTTCTCCACAGTCACGAACTCCAAATCCGCCTCGAGCTTCACAATCTCTGCCTGTAGCGCGTCTCGCGTCTGCTTGAGATCCGAGTTCGGGTCTGGTACGGGGATCCCGCGGGCTTCGTGCGTCCCTGAAGGGCCTTTGGTGGACTGCGTCTTCCGCATGACCCTGCTTGGACTCCTTTCCCGTACAGGGCGCTGCATTGCCTTCTTGGAAGGGTCTTTTGTCGTCTGCGTGAACTCGGGCGGACGAAGAGGCGGCTGCTTCAATGGAGAACTTTTTGACGGTGAAGAAATCCGTCGTCTCCGTCTCGAAGGTGTATCGTGGATACCCAAGGGTGGTGTTGTGACCACAGGATCGTCCTGTCCCTTTTGGGTCGGTGTGGGCGGGAGTTCGGGCTCTTCCTCGAGCTCTGGTTGGGGAGGCGGTGCTTGCGCAGGAATGGCATCGGTCGGTGGCGTGCGGTTGAGGACGCGACCAGCAAATGGGTTTATTTCTTCGTCTTCTGGATCAGGGTCGGGGAGTGGCCTGGGGTTCGGCAGGCCCCCAGACCGACGCGGTCTCGTCGCCAGCGCACCGCTGAGCCTCGATGCCGGAATTCTTCGTGCAGGAGAGCCCAATTTTTGGGATTCGACAGCTGTCGAGCCAGAAATGTCACTTTTCGGACGCGTAGGCCCCCTCTCTAGGAAACGTTCGGCCTGGCCCCCAGCTTGGGCGGCTGGCTCCTCTCCCACAGCATCTTGTATAGCTTGTGTTGACAGATTGCTACTGCCAGCTTTGGTGGGACTCAGGCTTCTGCTTCTTTGCCGCAGAAGATCAGGATTTGATCGTGCCAAGCTTGCCCTCGTTGGCGACGCGAAAGAAGGCCTTCTCGGGATCCTGCTCCGTGGTGGGGGAGGGCCGGGCGGCGTGGTTGAATCGTTATTATCATTGTCGCCGTCCCGCTGGCTGCTGTGGCGTGGCGAAACCCTCCGGCGCTTGGGCGCGGATTCGTCCATATTCTCTCGTGGTCGTGACCTCGATTAAAACATTCTGGGGCGGGCGTGTTGGAAACCGAAGGCAGATTGCAGGTGTGAACTTACAGCGTGTGGTGGGATGCGCATGGAGCGCGTTTGTGTACATGCGATTCGACCGCCTTCCCAATACGGATGCGGAACGGTTAAAGTAAACAGGGAAGGCACAGTCAAAGCTTCAATAAAACTTCTAATAAAACTCCAAAATTTACCTATTTTGACATCTGTGTGATAAAATGATTATTAATAATAATTGAATAAGCCTTCTGACTTAACGCTTCACTGCGTTCTTCCTTCCCCACACTGTTTGACCCTTTTGCCTTCCTTCCTAGGCCTGCGCAGTAGCAACAACACGAAGGCACGTGATACTACACCGTTCATGGTTACATAATCGAGAATTTTGGACCGATGACGTCCGTGGCTATGACCGCATTCCAATTGCCTGGCTTCCTCTTTCTCTCTTCAGTGATCGCAGGCTTGCCTCACTCAACCCCAACAAAGGTTCAATACCCAACCTCAACTACCTGAAATCGGACCGCCGCCTACGAAACACCATACAAGATGTCCGCTCCCGCCAGATTGCTCCCTCGCCTCCGGCCTTTCGTGCCACGCATTGGCCGCGTGCCTCACGGTGCCTTCATCACCAGCCAGTCGCAAACTGGCCCTGTGCCGATTGAGCCCTCCAAGACCCAAGCCCACCCCCTGGGCGCGTATTATGAGGCGATCCTCAACGACCCCCAGCCGATCCCCGAGGTGAAGCCGGAGGAGCCCCCCTCTTCCTCCGTTCACAAGCAGGAGCAAGGCCGTAAGACGTCGCCTCCCTCCCCAGACCCAACCCCCGACCCCGTTGCTGAAGCCCAATCCGCACAGCCGGTGCCGACGCCGCCGCCGAAAAGCGCGGCTGAAAAGGCTACCATCATTTTTGGCCCCGCTCTTGCCGGCCCCGCCGCCGCGCGCAAGCAGCGTCTCGAGGAGCTGCGCAATAAAAGCACCATGATAGCCGGCGTGCTCGTGCCCCCGCGGCCCGAGGAGCCGGATAACTGCTGCATGAGCGGATGTGTTGACTGCGTGTGGGAACGGTACAGGGAGGAGATGGAAGATTGGTCGGCGGCCAACGCAGAAGCGCAACTCAAGTTGCGCCACCAAAGGGGTGCGAGCGATTCGGTGAGCATGGACGACGACGGCGGCGGTTCCGAGACCAACTGGGTGCCCAAGGACCCTAAGATCGCCAAAAACATGTGGGACGATAAACTGTATAACGATGTCCCCGTCGGCATTCGCGAATTTATGAAGACGGAGAAGAAGCTGAAAGCGATACACAAAAAAGAGGGAACCCAGAGCGGTTGAGGAATACGGAACTCGGTTTGCCCTCCCGTTTTCTTGTCCTTTCGTTTCGTAGCCGGCGCCGGAGTCACCAGTTATAGAGCACCCCACTGTTGAGGTCGTTCAAAGACGTGTCAAATTCATGAATATCATACATCTTATTTACAATACATAGCCAGACATCGAAGCTCGAGCAAGCATGGCTCAGCGATCAGCCAGGGTGGTGGTGTATGGGAATGGCGCTTTCTGCTAATTTTGGCCAGGGTCGGCACCCATACACTCGATGAATCAATGCTCCACGGTGGGTAAGTTCATCGCCGAAGAACAACATTAGATTTGTCGTCAGCCATGTATGCGTCCTGCCACCCCGCTGCTGTAAACCCTTTGCGAACAATTACAGTTATGTTGGGTAAAGGTGTACAGTCCCATTCTACGTATATGCTTTTATTCGGCTCATTCGCGTCTGAGCTGCTGCCTTTCTACACATGTCCAGGAGATTAGGAGTATGTTCGATCTGGTTCGTGTTTATTCTCGAATATGCTAGGCATCGTCGGGGCACCTGACTCCCCCCCCCCCCCCCCCATCCCTCCCCCCGGCTTCGCGAAATAGCCTCAACTCTCAACTTGTGCTTTCCTGTCATCTAGCTTTCGGCCCCTACTGCCCAACCCCTCCCCTTCTCGCTTCTTCTCGCATTGATGGTCAGCTGGGCTATTGTTATTGGTATTATTATCATTTCCGATATCTTTATTGTTAAGCCTTTGTCAGCTGAAGTGGGTGCTCTAATCCTGTCTTTGCAATTACCTCACTCGCCATGTATCCTGAGTGTATTGCCTGTGAATCTACGTAATTCAGTAATGGATGGAACGGCAGGTGATGTTCCAAGACAAGGAAGCTGAGAACGAGACTTTCTTTGATTTTGCAATGCTGGCCAAGCATAGGTAACCCCCAACTGGTCAGTCACAGTATCTGCAACAGACGCCATCTGCCGGCCGCCCTTTGCGCACTGCCCTACCGCACGTACCTACACCACGACACAACAGAGGCATTCAACAATGCCCAGTTCTATTATGGACGACGGAACCTGACGACTAAGCACCCACGAGTGACTGGCCGCCTTTAAATACGCTGACCTCGACTTGGTTGTTCCCTTTCTTCCACCAACATCCACTGGTAACCGCATCACCGTTGAGATGGCCCCTAATATTCCGCTACCAGTCATCCCCGAAGAAGAGGAGGACTGGGGGGACGCTTCCTCTTCCTCGGATGATACCTGCAACGAAAATAACGAAAACAGCCAAGACAGTGAACGGCTCTCTCCCCCTCCGGGGCTTCTCTTTCCCCACGAAATGGCTAGGCCTCCGTCTCCGCCCATCCACGCGCCGCGCCTCCGCCTTCTTTACCACTCGCAAACCTGGGACACCCAGGTCTACATGCTCAAAGACGGCAAGGTCCTCAAGGAGCGCGCGTCCTTTCCCAACCTCAGCCGGGGCTACTTTGGCGCCGTCGAAATGAACCAAAAGCTTCTACACTGGTTTCGCGTGCTCCCCGAGCAGCTCGAGGAGATCCTCGGCAGCGGACACCCCTACCTCTCCCGCGTCGCCATCGCCATGGCGCCTCGCCAGTACATGCTCATGAGAGGCAGCGGAAACTCGGACCACCTCCCCGACCAGCTCGTCGAGCCCTTTCCCGAGATGAAGGGCCGGCTCGTCATGGAGCGCGTGCGGCCGGTCAAGCCGGCCGTGATCCGGGTCCTCGTCGACAAGGTCATCAGCCCGGCGCTCCATCGCAGGGCCAACACGGCCCCCGAGAACTACAACCTCCACCCAAAGGCCTGGCTCGGCTTCGAGCAGCCCCCCGCCGTCAGGGACATGCTTCGGAACCACCCCAACCTCTCGACGCGCCCGGCGTACCTCAACGAGCTTGTGCGGTTCATCGGCCGCCGCGGCGTCCTCGAGCTCGCGCGGGAGATGGGCACGGCGCTGGCGGTGATCCACTACGACCTGCACAAGGACGCGCACGGTGTCAAGTTCCGGATCGGCTACAACCCCGTCCTCGACAAGGCCAAGCTCTGGGTGTGCGGGCTCGGGCGCATGGGGGACTTGAAGGTCAACGAGGGGGGCGACGGGTTCGTGGGAGACGCAGGCGGCTACGTCTAGGAGAACGAGCGCTTCTATCCCCGCCCCGGCGTCGGCCACGGCGTGTTTGACGCGTTTTGGGCGGCGTACGTCCTGGCGAGCGAGGGGATACTGCAGTGGCGGATGGAGAAGGCGGTCAAGGGTTCGGGCAAGGACGCAGGATTGCGGAGTTTGATGATCAAGGTGCTGCTTGAGCGTCTGGATAGTCTCTGAAGTCTGTCACGTAGTGGACGAGAGTCGGTGATCTTGGGGATGCGTTTGGCACTTTCACGAAGAGGTCAGCAACGGGGAATAGGACTTTGGTTTGCCCTAGACCACTCGATGCCCGAAACGTCGCCGTGAAGACTGGCTGATACCCTTTGAGCGAGGCATCCAGACCGTGACAAAATCAGGGCCTGGAGATTCAATCGTGCTACACGACAACAGTAGCTCATAACGAAAGCCATCTGAGACTCCGAGCTCGGCACCGTGTCATAGTGAGACCTACGTCCAGGGCTTCCGCAAGAGAGCGCTGGACCGGTGTGATTGATCACTACTCAGATTGAAACACGACTGTTTTGTATGCATGAAACTCAGGTGACCATTTCTCAAGCCGACTGGCAGCCCTGGGAGTCGTTTGAGATTCGAGAGCTAGTAGCAGTACAGCACAGTTCGACTGACCGCTCTTGTCAGCTCGCTGTCGGCAGAAAGCATTGGGTGGATCTTGAGTCTGCATGTCATCGAGGCCGGCAACGTCTCACTTACATGTTGCGAAATCCCAAGTGCGGCGGCTGGCAGCGCGGTGTCCTCTTGGTCGGCGAAGGCTGCAGGCGGCGGCGAGTCGTGCTACTCCGGAACAAGACTTCCCCACCAGTAGTCGGTTTCCGTGTTCGGGGACTGCCCCAAGGGGCGGCCAAGCACGGAAAAATGACCTGCACTGCATGTCAGAGTGCCTGGAAATTATCGTGGAACTGCCGGGCGACAAGGGTAAAAAATAAAATAAAAAAGCAGAAAATTCAGTGACAGTCTACGTAACAACGCCCCTTCTCAGGGATCCGGAGGGAAAAAGATGGCGGAGGTATTGAGCGAGCGATTCACTCTCCCCTCCGCATCACACCTCTTCCTCATTGGCCAAAATGATTGGATGTGGATACCGTTCACCGATGACACGGCGGATTCCGATGCCTTCGGTCAAGCATGCGTCAAGCAGTCTCGGTCGGCAGCCACTCACGTGTCATTCTTGAGTGACTAGCACGCGGGGCGTAGGATCAAGATGCATGTACGCCATGCACTGGTGGGGTAGGCAGGTTCGGCGTGGTGACGATGCTGTCGGGGCTCGCCAGACAGAGCAGAAATTTCTCTCCCGCGCCTGCCCTGCACCATTTTGCCCGGTGACAGATGGAAGGTAGGTTCATGTACACACTGAGTACGCTATCTACGTAGTGGTACTTCGTACCTTCCACCAACAGGTGATGCAAGGTAGTGTAGGTACGTACCCAAGGCGCATGGCGGGGTTGTGTTGTTTCTCCCTCGGTGCGTTTGACGAGGGGTCGCTGTGGCAGCCTCTATTTTTTATTCTTTTATTCCGCTCTCCTGTGAATAGCGACACTCTGGGCGGAATATTGGTCCCATATTCCTACTTAAGCCTGGGCCTGTATATTCCCCTCCTCCCCTCTTTTCCAAAATATACGATCCCATCTTTTTTATTTTTCCTTCCCGTTCTTCCCCCCTCTCTTCACTTGACTGGACATCTAACCCATCTGCGTCGCAAAAAGGAGAAACATCTCCAAATCTGCACAAATTCGCAGTTCATTCTACCCCGCAGTACATCTCACCCCTCGTCGGCCGCAGTCGAGTAAAAGAAAGCAACCCGCCAAACACCGCAAAGATGGTCGAGAAGCTCTACGTCACGTACAACGATGTATGTCTCTCCTCTTTTCCGTCCCGTCCGGCCCGCCGCGCCTTTGTTCTCAGTGACTCTCCGTACGCCGTGAAGAACATGCCCCGACTGACATGCCTCTCCCCTCTCTTCAGGTACACAAGCTCTGCCAGGAGTCCGCCGTCAAGATCCTCGAGACCTTCCAGCCCCAGCTCATCATCGCCATCGGCGGCGGCGGCTACGTCCCCGCCCGCATCCTGCGCTCCTTCTTGAAGAAGCCCGGCAACCCCAACATCCCTATCCAGGCCATCGGCCTCTCCCTCTACGAGAGCCTGCCCGAGACCTTTGGCGGCAACGCCACCCCCGGCGCTCCCGAGGTCCCTGGCACAAAGGTCACCCGCACTCAATGGCTTGACCTCAACGCCATCGGCGACATGGAGAACCTCGTCGGCAAGCGCATCCTCATCGTTGACGAGGTCGACGACACCCGCACCACTCTCGAGTACGCCGTCAAGGAGCTCCAGAAGGACGTCGAGGCCGCCAGCCAGCGCCTCGGCAAGGGCGAGAAGACCGAGTTTGGCATCTTCGTCTTGCACGTGAGTCACACCCGCTCCGCTCTCCTCCCCTCTCATGCACCTCGTCTGCCCTTGGTGTGACTGGTACTGACATCTCCGCAGAACAAGGACAAGCAGAAGAAGGGTACCCTGCCCGAGGACATGATGAACTCTGGTCACTACCTCGCCGCCCGTACCGTCGACGACATCTGGATCAACTACCCCTGGGAGGCCATCGACATTGACGAGCACGACCGTAACGCCGCTGAGCAGAGAAAGTAAAGAAATGGATGGAGAAATACAAACGTATACCAGTGACACGAAACAATGTGAGGAACACAGAGAGACGACACCAAAGAAGGAGCGTGGATTTTAGATGAGGATGGAGGCTTGGGCGAAAAGAAGCCAGCCAGGGCGTATAAAAAGGGATACCAGGACGGGCATGCCGTCGAGCTTGCCCGCCCGCATACACATTACCAATGATATTTCAGTTGCTCACGTCTGGGCCTAACAGGCCCAATACTGTTTCTTTTCCGGGCACCGTGGTCACGCGGCACCGTTCCTGCAATCCAACTCACCAGGTCAGCCTTACACTCAGCCAGGCTTCGGGTGCGCCTCGGGACTCTTCAGTCCTACCGACCACCTCATCGTCTTGCAAAATCGGCCGGCGTACACGCAAGCCTACGGCCGATATACTGACATCATCACGTAATCCGCTAACAGCAAGGGACATGGCCCATGGGAGGAGACAGCAATAAATTGATGCGATGGTGAACAAACACCCCACGTTTTGCAGCTCATCACTAATATCAAGGGTACTTCTAACATACAAGTCAAGTGCCAGAGGGAATCCGATGACATTCATAGCCGCCCAACTCCATCGCCGCCGTGCCATTTACGCCAGTTCCGCCTCAATGACGCTCTCGACCGCCTGCACCGGCCTCCAAATCTTCACCACCCGCAAGCCCGCGCTCGCAACCAGGTCGCACCACTGCTTTTCCGTCCTCTCCGCAGACGCCAGCGCCGCCATCATGATGATATCCGTCGCCGTCACCTTGCACAGCGGCTCCTTCTCGTTGATGAGGCTCTCGTGGATCAGCAGCCTCGAGTACCCCCTCTCCATTGCCTCGGCGACGGTCTTCAGAATCTCCACGGCCGTCGGGTCCGGCCAGTCGTGCAGGACGTTGTGGAAGAAGTATGCCCGCGCCCCGCGGACGGGCTGCGGCGTGAAGAAGTCGTACTGCTGCACCGTGAAAGCCGGGTCAGGCTCGACTTCCTTCAGGATGTCGGGGAGGTCCTGAAGAATCAGGTCCCGCGCGGGGACCTGCGGGTGGCGGAGATGGAACTTCTTCAGGTCATGGCCTTTGCCGCCGCCGATGTCCACCACCAGCGCCCGGCAGGGGCGCGCGCCCTCGACGAGCCGCTCTGTGGGGTACACTTCGGGCCAGGCCGTGAGGTTGTCGCGTGAGTGGCACTCCATGGCGTCATTGAAGTCGGACGTCAACAGCGGGTTCGTGCCGACGTACCGGAAGAAGACGGCGTTTGGGTCGCCCCGCCAGCGCTGGAAGTTGCAGTTGTTCCGGTCTGTCGGGTTCCGGTACCCCGTCTCCTTCAGGAAGTACGGCAAGCTGCGGAATAGGGGGTTCGTAAGCTCGCCGTAGAAACCGCCGTACATGGCTGGCAACGGGGCGTCCTCGCCGAGGGCCTGCGCCCAGGGCGTGCGCGCGTAAGTGTCGGCATCGGTCTCGATGACGAGCCGCTGGCCCGCTATGGCGCGCATTAACCGTCCTGGTCACGGAGCAAAATCAACCGTTGGCTCCTGGGGGGGGATGATAAAGGAGTGGCTGGGACGTACGTATGAGGAGAGTGTCGGCGCCGGTGAGCGCTGCGAGCTTATCACAGGTGATTGGCTCGCCGCCAGCCTCGTGCCACTTCTTGAAGGCACCGGCGTCAATGAGCGTCTTGATGGCGGCGTTGCCGGCGCCCTTGACAATGACGTGGTCCCATGCAATGTCCCACGGCGTCTGGACCCTGCGCAGGGCGTCGTAGAGGGCGTCCCGCGCGCGTATCCGCTCCGCCTTGTCCGTGAAGGCGTCGCCTTGGATGTCTTGGAGACTCGCTATCAACGCGTCCGCGGTGGCCATGGCGGTGGTGTACGTGGGCGTGATGTGCGGGAGGACCCTAGAGTGAGAGTGCTGAAGGCTCGGACGGGAGAGGTGACGGGCCTCTTTTCATATCCCGAGAGCTGACATGCCCACCAAGACAAGCGAGGTTTTTAGGAATTCACGACAGGCCTGTTGACTGGAATCTTTGGGCCCCTTGTAGAGGCGTTCCTACAATCAAAAGATAGCAGTAGCAAACATGCAGTCGTGAGGCACATTGCGAATGGAGGCCAGTAGCACATTGTCTCAGTCTCCACTGAAGGCACAAACAAACAGTTTACGATGCAGATCAGGAAGGGCCGTCGCGCTGACAGGGTCTGATTCGACGGGTATGGACCGGGTTCTGGGGCAGGGCGGGTGCAGGGGGGGGGAAGCAAACATTGTAGTTGAACCGTTGGAAGTAGAAGTGCAACATACCAGGCGAACCAGTCATTACGCCAAGAAGCCTAGCAATCATAGAACCTGGAAGCTCGCTAATGCGCCGCACCCCCGTCTGACTGTTATCAGTGCTTATTTCGACCTGCCAGACATGGCAATTCCTGCTGGTTTTGATAGGGCCTAGGCATTGATGGTGGATATTGGTCGGGGGGTTGACTACAAACATCTTTGAGTGGGTTTCTGTGCGTTGTTGAAACTCCAGCGTGCACCGCAGGCGAGTGACAGGTCGACTCGATCGGGCTCTCTCGGCGGAGACGTTGACGTGAGGATTGAGACTTGGCCTAACGCACGTATCTGTGTCGTTTCTCGCGGGCTCGCTCTTGTTATCAGGCTCCCAAACCGGTGTACTACAGAATCATGAACAAAAAGCACACTGCAGGGCAAAACCCCCGTTTAGCAGACCGTACGCACCGGTCACGAAGTTTTCTGTATACAAGTATCGTGTAGATCCCGCCAGGCATCATGACTATAGGCGTTTAACGGAGCTCAGGGGTTCGTGTCCCTAGTGAGATGGAGGGAGATGGACTTTGACTCGCCAACGGTCAACGTTGACCGAATCCGCCAAATTGAGCCCAGGAAACTGTTGCCTGTCCTCGTCGAGGCACGAGGTACTGCTAGCAGATTATGTGTTCACCAGACCTTGTGTTCGGTTTCCCAAAACACCATCGTGATCTTTTTGGAACGTTCTGTACCTTTCTTTCCTTATTACTTGACAACACCCGGGGGTCCTCTGTTTCCTGTTGTTCCTAATCTGGGAAACCCATCATGAGCTTCATAGTAAGCCACTGGACAACGGATCAATTGTTGCCTCCGGGCGGTTTTCGCGAGAACCACCCAGAGCCATTGCATTGGATCTGGTGGCTAGAAACAACCGTTATCGGGTCCCATACTGCAGACCAAACGTTGTCCTTCATATAACTCGCTTGTTTAATGGAGTATAGTGCTAGAAACCAAGGACCTAGATTCCCCGGTTCGGTTTCTAGGCTATGTAATATGTTTCTTGCCTGACATGTGCGATTTCGTGTCTCCAATTGTCAGCGTCGTATACCATTCACTAATCTACTTGGACCCCTCGTATCAATATGTCCGTCCTCTAAGCTCTATTTATCTAAACTGACGTTGTTTCCTGTGAAGAAATCTCAGCTGTTGAGTACGCGGTTGCTGAAGCATGGCCAGGTCCATGTCTGTTCCCACGGCCTTGAAGTCATTACGTTACATGTCCTCCGCGCTGTGGTATCGTTCCAGCTTCATGTCAAGATAGCATATGCTAGAGAGTGTGGTGTTGAGAGTGTTGATTCGTGTTCCTGGCCACGCACTTTCTCATAGCCAGCGAGTGCTCGCGGTCTTTCGCTAACCTTGTCCTTCGTTGACTTCACCCGTACCGGTCCCGACGCTTTTTGGACAAGGACTGGTTCGATTAAGACAAACGTAACAGATTTGATAGAGGAACAAACGTACCAAGGTGCTGGTACAACCACCGATAAGTCCAGTTTCATTTGTTCGGCTTATCCGACTTACATCAAGTAAGCTCCAGTCTACCCTGACTCTTATTTTCAGACCATTTTAGCCGAGTATTCAACGTACAATACAGCCAAAGCATGTACCATAACACTTCTTGTATGTCTCTCAATTTGCCACCTCCTCTTGAGAAGTTAGCATGTCAGCTTCGAGCTCCATTGCTAATGTTATCCGCATCCTACGCAGTGACATTGTGCGTCGCGATGTGTAGGTTAGAATAGGTGGCATCGTCCCAGCGGCGACATAGGCTGACGTTATTAATCATAAACAACTTCGATCGATGACATTTGAGACTCGACCACTAATAGCTTTTCTCATCTACTACCTATCTGCTTACTATGCAAGCAAGCTGCCAACGTTGTCCACTCTGTTCGCCTCATCGGTGTGGCTTCAAAGCGGAGGGTGAGCCAGCCGCTACCAAGCGAGGGGGAAAATAGGAGAAGGAAAGACTGGCAGGACACGTATGACTTTTCAAGGAAGCCACGCTACGATAGCAACGTATCGATTCGAGCCATAAGGCCATCCAGGACAGCCTGAGACATTCCATTTGGTGGCATATCCTTTTCAGTGCAAGCATTGATGACAGTCTCGCCGCCCGCAGCTCCAGCTACGTTGAACACGATCCCATGATAACCGACCGCCCCCTGGACGGGTCCGGCCGAGAACTGAACGTCTTCAATCTTCACAACCGGCTCCTCGAGGTTCGATCCCTGCGGTGCGGCTTGGAGAGCTCCGATGTTCGAGATGGAGAAGCTGTTCTGCATGAACATGCCCATGGTCGGGAGCTTGGCCGCAAAATCCTCGAGCGATGGGCCCAGCGCGTTGCCGCTGATCCAGGCCTTGTAGAGATGGGACTCCTCGCCGCCGGTACACGACTCCTTCATCCGTCTCCCGTAATCTTGGACGAGCGCCCACACGGCCTTGGCGTCGACGGCCGCTGTAAGTGCTTGCTGCTTCTCGCCCTGTAATGCCGACTTGGTGAACGCCTGGCGGTATTTCTTCAACCGTTCGATCTCCGGGAGGCTTGCGGCCAGGTTGAGCAGTTTCCCCTCGTCTTCGGACTGAGTCTTGAAGCATCCTGTAGCCCTCATATCCACGGCGTACCGGGTGAACCCGACCTCGGCGTCTGGGTAGAAGTCCGTCGCCAGCGTGCCCGCGATCATGACAGCCAGGAACGGTGTAAATGTCGTGCCATGCGCGCGGCAGGCAGCGATGATGGCCTTTGTCTTTTCAGCGGGGATGCGGCATGTGACTACCTTGGTGGCGGTTCGCTCTGTGGGCTGGGCGATGGTCATCGGATCTGTGAGAACAGCCTTTGGCTTCGGGAAGTCGAGGAAGAAGAGCTTCTTGGCGTAAAAGAAACGGTAGAAGAGAAACAAAAACAGGTTATACATGACGCCGAGTATCGACGGCTTCTTGTGAACCGTGTCTTCGAGCCTCTTGCTCAGTCTCACGCGTTCGGCGTCCAGTTGAACCGCATGCGAGGGCGTCGGGTTGGCTTTCGAAGTCGCCGCGGAGTTGAGTGCCGCGAGGAACTCGCGGTGGAACGTCATCCCGAATGCGCCGTCACAGACGAGGTGATGGAACACGAAAACGACGTCCCGATGCCCGACCACAACGACCTTCCACCACGGCTTGCCAGGTTTGACTTCTCCATCTGCCCAATGCCACTGTCCGTGAATGGCTTCGAGGAACTCCGCGTCCACCGCCTGCTCCTCGCCGATGAACTCGACACAGGAGTCGAGGTCTATGGTGTTCAGTGACGCCAGAGAGAGAAGATGCTTCTTGTCTTCGACCGACTCTACCACTCCGACTAGGGCCAGTTCCGGGTACTTGGAGACAACGGCGTGCAAAGCGGAGAAGACCGCTTCTTCGGAAAGGACGAGACGCTGGTTGCCTGGCTGGGCAGCAACATAACGAGCCGAAACCACAACGTTGGACGAAATCCCTAACCGGTGGTAGATGTAGAACATGCGGTCGAGGTTTGCTGGGAGGGGTCATTGTAAGAGAGATATCACCGGTGCAGGCATTGGCTTGACCTACTCGTTTTACGGACGATCGTGTAGTGGCTCTGGCCAGCGGCGCCATCTTTCCCTTGCTCCGTTCTGATTACACTCGTTGTGGTAGTCATGATATTAACGTGCCCGTCGTACTCAGTGAGCCCTCGCAGGGCAACCAACCGCCCGGTGCCTGGCTACTTTTAAGTAGAAGCCTACATTTATTTGGTGGCTGTGAAGACGCTCGCGACTGGCAGTGGCCGCATAAGTCGAAACGCTGCTGGTACATGCACATATTGTGTCGAGATGCCAGAGCGTCTCGGTTGAAGCCAAGCGCAACGTCTGTGAGCAGGAGGAGAAGGCAGCAGCCAGCGCCGCCATGGCGGCGACCGTGGCCGTTTCCATCCCAGATCTCGGGGCTCGTGCTTGGAGTGACAGTTCACCAAGAGACGAGCGTCTGGAGTGCACGGTTGAAAGCACTTGAGTCTGGCGGGGTTCCACAAGAGAATTTCGGCTTGCCGGCTTACGAATACTTTCAGTAACGTAATTCAATTGCGATTCGCGGAGGGTGGGATTCGTCGATTGAGGCATGGATGAGGTGCTTAGCATCGACCGGCTACAAGGCTTCCGTGATTAGGGCCATGGCGTTACTAGATTACGATGTTCATGAACATGGGGTATCCGCTTCTAAATCGCACTTATATCCACATCACTCGACTGTCCTCCACCACCAGGTCGGCTTACAGGGCCTGGATCCAATCTCGCAGCACTTTCTGGATCTGGTCGCTGTTCTTCTCCATGAAAAACATGTGGCCATTGCCGTGGATCCCAATCTCGGCGAGCTCGAGGTGCTCGGCCTTGCTGCAACCGGCCTGCTGTAGAAACTGGACGGTGCAGTGATCGTAGGGCGCGTGGTAGGACGCCTCAGACGTGACGAGGATGATGGGCTTATCGACGAGGTTGATAAGCTGGCGTGGGACAGGCTCCTCGGCCTGGAGGACACACTGGACGAAGTGTTCGCCCTTGGCAGGGTATACCTGCTGTACGAGGTCGGTGGTGGGGTCGGTGACCTCGGGAGAGTAGGCGACAGGGATGTCGGTGAGTCCGTAGGCGCGGGACGACTTGTTGCTGAAGATGGCCTCCTGAAAGGGAGGGCCAGTGGGCTCAAGAAGAACCAGAGCCTTGGTGAGCTCGGGGCGGGCGTCGGCAATAATGATGGGCATGAGTCCACCTTGGCTGTGACCAACAAGGACGACGGGCTTGCCGATCTTGTCTAGAAGAAGGGCGCCGGCATCCTGGACGGTCTTCTGCTGGTAGGTGCCGTTGTTGACGAACTGAAGGTTGGAGCTGTAAAAGGCATCAAAGACCTCGTCGCCCATCATGCCTGTG